TAGAGTAGACGCAGCAAACATACAAATATGTTGAAAGTGGGGTATATTTGCTATATAGTGTACCAGTCTATGACATCCATCTGTGAAAATCTTGTGCTCTGAAACATCTGTTATACGTTGGAATGAACAAAAAAGGATATATGATACATATGTCCAGTTACCGGTCCAAGATATCAATGGCCAGTCACACGTACTGACTCTTAGGCATGACAGCAGGACATACACATAGCAGAGAATACTATTTTATTAGTTAAACTGGAAGACCAGCACACCATTAGTAACATTGAACACCCCTTACTAGTTCTTAGTAACAAGAATTTGCCCCAGTATAGTACCCGTTGGTAGAGTCTTAATATTTTGTTCCTTGCCCACTATCAATTCCACTTGGCAGTTACTTCAGAACAACAGATATCAGGAATCAACTGCTCATTTTATAGCAATTATGGCCAATACTATAACATTCCCACAGGAGCAGAGGCAAAGCATAACCTTACAGAAATACAGAACACTCACCAGATGCCTTAAAAATGTAAACAAGTTTAGTATGCTGTTGGAATAGCACATATCAACTGCCTCTAAACTGTGCCAATATTGGAAGTTACTGGTGTCTGTTGTGGAGGGGAGGAATCCTGAACTGCACTCTTCTCCTTCCTAGGGATACTTCTAGTTGAGTTATGAGTACAACCAAACTGTCAAGGCTTGCCTGACACACAGACAGTCCCTATACATTCGCCTCAAATCTTTAAAAAGAGCTTCAGAATCTGGCATATTAGACTGAAGGAACAAACTGGTTTGTTAAAATATGTTTTCTAAACAAAAAATGCATTCCATACATTTATGCATAGGAATGCGTAGCCTGATTTTGCTTGAAATATTCAGCAGTAAGTTACCAGTTTAGTAAGCTGAAGGAATTCATTTATGTATTTCTAGTTTTGTCATGAATTTACTGCTTTGCTCCTTCTTCGTAAAGTGAATTTTGAATCTCTCAACTCTGAATCTGTTTTATTACTAACAGATAATAAGCTCAGTTTGATTAATTTAGGTAATCCTATTGCAATGCACACCCCAAGCAACCATTTTCACCTTCAAGTAAGGACGTAGGTTGAAATGACATTTGTTTTAAATAGACTGATGCACTTCTCTCCATTTTTAAAATTTTTTACAAATAAATACTTATTTCTACCACTATGCCAACTTCACCAGTCTAAATACACCATTGCTGCTGCTCTCATAATACACATTTCAGGTTCAACTGCCCCCAGTTTGCACATAATTTTATCAAAGCATAACCTTTATTAACAAAATCAAAATCTTGTCTAGACGCGATAAATCGATCCCGGAAGTGCTCGCCGTTGACGCCGGTACTCCTGCTCTGCGAGAGGAGTACATGGAGTCGACGGGGGAGCCTGCCTGCCGCGTGTGGACCCGGGGTAAGTACCTTGTAGTTCGAACTAAGGTACTTCGACTTCAGCTACGTTATTCACGTAGCTGAAGTTGCGTATCTTAGTTCGAACTGGGGGGTTAGTGTGGACCAGCCCTTTAACTCAACCTGCTAACTCTGCAAAAAGTAAACTACGCCCTGCCTTGTCTTCATTAGGACTTTAACTCATGTTAGTTAACGTAAGTTAAGCACATCTTTTTTCCAGTGAAGACGGAAGAGTCTACATAGTCCCATAAATGTTAAATAGTTTCCCAGGTTAAAGTAACCCAGAGCTTCCTTCTGAAACTACAGCTGCATTTCCACTGTGAATTGAATCAAGAAAAAACTAATCCAGGAACGGCAGCTTAAAAAATGTTTCCATTAGTAATTTCTTCATCAGCTAATGATCCTGGACACAATGACCTTTTCATCACAGTGGTGGTCCCTTCGGGACAAGGTTAAGGCAGCTTCGGAAAAGTTGTACCGCTGCCACCTCTATACTGTAGCTAAATGAACTTCTACCTTCAGGTATTTCAATGCAGCACTGTACACAAAGGTTACAGACACTACAAAGTTCTTTACTTTGAATAGCTTCATCTTGGCTTGCTGCCCCTGTTACCCGGCTTCTGTACAGGAAGCAACAATACACTTCTTACTCTACATCTGTTCCAATGTTATAACTTTTGAAACAGTCTAGCAGTTATTATTTCACTGCTAGAAATGGTTGCCAAAATGCTCTAAAAAGTCTGTGGATGCCACTGACATCCAGGGAAGATTTAGGTGCAGCTCCTCTTAACTCTAACGGGAATTAAGATAATTGGAAAATAGAGTCCCAGCTGTTTAGATATGATCTAAGGACATCCCCCCCAAAAAAACAAACTGTACCAATATGATACTAATCAACCTGAGAGGAGGCAATAAACTTTATCAAAAGGAAAATTTGTGTTGACCTACATTAGACTCCTGATGTGCCAGGCTAATTTGCGGCCTGACAGCAAGGAACTTTAAGACATGTGATGTCTGAAAGGCTATTTTGGTAGCACTGGCATACATATTAAATACCCAACTGATGTTTTCTATGGATGCACACAGAGTATTCCAACGCTCCCAAAGTGTTAACACCTGAAAAAAGGGAAATACTCATGAAGGCATGGCACTGTATCGCACCAACAGTATAGGATCAAACTTGGGCACCACGTATTAGAGATGTAACAAGGCACTTATAAATCCTGGCTTAACTGAGCTACTGTAATCATGAATATTATTGCTCTGTAAACTAACACAGTGCTTTAAAAGTGCAGCTAAGAGACGCCAAAGCTCAGTGAGGACTAAACTGGAGTCTGAGATATCTGTTTATGTAGAGCAGAGCCCATCTAGTTATTTAGCCTGTTGAAATGGTCACCCATGTTACTTTTTGATCAGGGAAGCAGCCTAGCCTAGTAGTTTATGCAGAAGAGACATGAACTCTTGACTTCTAATACTTGCTCCGTCCCACGGCCACTTTGCCCCTCCCAGTCTCAGTTCTCTTGAGCTGTGAAATCAAGAAATGTATTTTATCTTAAAGTGGTATGGGGATTAAAAAATATTTGTGCAGTTCTTGTAACCGGTGTACAAACTTTGTGTGTTAGCCACTATCGATAACTACCAACCTCACTACATTGTTAGAATTGTTTTTGCCCCTATACAGTTACACAGATACTACAACAGGATCTATCAATAAACCTATTGACCAACTTTTTAAAATAGATATGCTAGTAAACACAGGATGATTCTAACTGCTTACTCTTTTTTGATGCCAATATAGCTGCTCAGATGCTTGTAGGGAAGGAGTCAGGCCCTCCTAAATAGAAGCAGGAAATGGGAGATCCTTTGAAAAGCTGGCACAGGAGTGACACTCCAAATTGTATTACAATTACATCCTCTTTCTCAGGATTGAGCAGAAGGCAGATTCCTAGAGATTGTACAGCATTATTTGCATATGGTATGAAATACCAGAGTGACTCTGACATGGCAACTCCTCCTCACACATTAAATACACTGTTTGGTTTTATAAATATTTAAGCAGTTGGAAAATTTCCATTTCCTGCAAGCCCCATTAGTTTAATCAGAGATTAGAGGCAGCACTTTAAAGTTAGCTGTTTTCTCTTGAGCCAAAGGTGATAGGGTCACTGCCAAATGTTTATGGGAAGCAAAACACAAATGCATGACCTGTGCCAATTTTCCATATAGGATTGTAATATAGAGTTACGTAGGCTGGTTATCACATAACCAAAATTTAGAAGGGATGATTAGGTCCAAAAACCAAACAAATGCTCACATTAATATGAATATTCATATTTTTATTAAAATGTCAATGAAGATTTGAATTTAAACATACCCTCTGCAGTGTTTGCTGCCCAAGAACAGCAGCCCTGTGCTAGTATAGGAAAGGCAGAAAATGAAACTAACCAGAAAGAGCACATGAAACAAACTAGTCTAATCTCAGTCTAAAATGATGAAATACTTCATGTAAACAAGCAGTATGAATGGTAACTAGAACTTTAGAATTTAAAAATACTTTGTTTTAGTAATTTAAGAGTAACAGGTAAGGATATTTGTTTAAAACTACAGCATATAAATTTATGCTTGACAGTATTGCTGCAATATATTGAACATAAAACTCATTCTTAATGTATTGTTTTGGGTTTTTTTTTTTAAAACAGTTGTCCCTCGCTACCACTTTCCTGCATTTGAAAACTATAACATCTCCACTATCAAGGTAAACGCACATCTTTCACCTTCATTGTGTCACAATGTAGTTTTCCAGTTTTGATGGATAAGAATTAGATGGTGATCGGGGTTTAAGAAAATTGAAGGGGGAGGGTTTTTAAGTCTGAAATTGTTCCAAAACCTTGCAGATGGTGAACATTCCTGCTGTTTGCAGCAACTCCATACCAATTATCCCAGGACTCTCCATTTCAGCAGCACTAAATTGCATAAGAAATCGCTATGAAAAGTAAGATTTGCTCAACACTCCCAGCTCACCAGGAAGCGTAGCAGCATCTCCTCCTTACTCACAGCAGGTACAAAGGAGAGAACAATTAGTGTAGAATTAATTTTAACTTTACATGATTAGGCTAGGACGCCAATTTGTGAGGCTACAGAAATAATTCAAAAGAGTTTTGTTCCCTCTTGATCCCTGTGTGACACGTGAAGGATTTTTTCCATAATACAATAATCTTACTATGACAGCAAAAGGCAAGCCAACAAAAAAACAAAACAAAACAAAAAAAACAAAAAAACAGCAAAGCAGTTGGCTCCAATACTAATCGGATGCTGCTGCCTCCTTCTGTTACTGGTAATGCTGAATCTATTGTCCTTCTCAACCACCTCTATCTGCTCCAAAACTGAAGTCAACATGCATGGGACATGCTTGGCAGCTGCAGCAGCCAGATGCCAAACTCCGGAATGCATTGTTCCTACAACAAATTAGCCTATCCCAGCACCTACTAAGCTAACAGGTTCTTCATGAAGCCTCTTGCTTGGTTTCATTGTGGGCTGTGATTCAAGCTGTTGAGTTGACTCTGGGGCTGATCCAGGTTGCAGATAAACTTATTAGTCCTTCCTGACATCCTTGGTCTGTATTCCGTGTTGCATCTGTAAAATTTCATATCAGTTGTCCATAAACTTCAGCTCCTAGGAAGCCAATTCCCATTTGCACATGTGCTGTGAAAAACACGTCCATTGGACTAGATCCACCCAAATACCAATGTATTGCCCAGCTGTACACCAAAATCCCAATAGGTATCACAAATCAGATTTCTAGCCTCCGGCAGCACCACAAATGTATTTACAAACACTTGTAGTTCTACACAAAAAATTATACCGCACAATCCACTGGATATAATTGTTTCTGGCCATTCACCTCAATTAAAAGTGTATGCCCTCAAATCCTTTCAATAGTTCCTTTTGCCCTAAAAAAGTATATTCTGTTTTCTCTGGAGTACTGCTGTCCCTGTTTCAGTGTCACTGCCTGCCAGCATATACACTCACCCACATTACAACTCTGTCCTTGGGAGTCAAGTCTTCCAGTATACCCCGGAGACACAATTATTTGCTCTGGCTCAGCTTTGCAATCAATGTCTCAGTTGTAAACTCCCCTGGAACCATATGAATTTGAGCAGCACCTTGTGCATTACCAATGTTAATTGGAGAGTCCCTACCAAATATTTAAACGATAATCTCCTGGCAAGGTTGGGGGGGGGGGAGGAATGCCACCCCCTTTACACATACCTATTTACTTGTTTTGAACTGAATACATTTGAAGTGCAAGTGTCCTGCTGCAGTTATAAAGAGGATGATGAGGTTTTTATTTGTAAGTGAGCTAAAGCATAGCAGCCACCTAACTGCTCTGTGCCTCAGTTTACCCTACAGCATGTATTGCAGGAGACACACAATCAGTGAGTTCAAGGTCAAGATGGTCTCTGAAGAATCTAGGCCACTGACCTAAATGCTTTAAAGGCACGTTGTTTAGCGGCAGAATAACACCAGGGAAAAGAAAACCTACGTTCTCACCGGGCCTGGCTACAAGCCCGACTGCAGAAAGACTTCAACTAACAGGTGAAAAACTGGGGAGTGCCCAACTCAAAGCCACCCCCGACCAGCACACTGAACTGGAGGGAATAAAGGGGGGGGTGTGCTATTCACTAAGGTTAGGAGAAAGAGACACACACACCCCGCGCGCACCCCTCATCCATCACCAAGGCAGGTTTCTGCAGCAGAATTACCACCGTCTTTGCAGGGTGTCGGTCAGAGTCCCCCCAAAGCGCGGAGAGCGGGCGGGACCGAGTCCCCAGCCAGCCAGCGGAGCACCAGTGGCAGCCCCAGCGCGCTGCGCTCGGAGCGCTCCCCTGGCGTCTCACCCCGCGGAACACCGAGCCGCTAGTGCCCAGGCATCCTCGGCCCGGCCCCGGGCGCCAATCGGTCTCGGCCCCGCTGCTCCCCTCCACGAACATTCCCCCTTCTCCCGCTGGGCATCAGCAGCCGCCCGGCCACTCACGTGTCACTATCATCCTGCCGGCTCCCCGCTGCGGCTCGAGCTCTTCCCAGCCCAGGGCAGCCGGAGCCGCGCGGCGGGCGCTGCGCTGCGCTTGCCTGCGGGGCACGGCCCTTGTGGAGTCCTCCAATCCGGGGCGGAGGGCGTGGGAGGCGGCCTGGGCTCCCCAGCGCAGCTGGGAGGGATCCGGCGCAGCCCCGGCGCGCAGCGAGCTGGCCGCCCGGTGCCACCACTACTGAGGGGGTGAACAGCAGCTAGGCTCCGTCCGTGTGTCCCGGGCTCTCCCCCTCCCCCGATCCTGGGGGCAGCTGCCTCGGCAGCCTCGCCGGCTCCTAGCCCTGAGCCAGGGGACAAAGGGGTGTTAAGTGTTAATGAAATTAACTTTACTACCCGCGTGATTGAAGGCTACAAGGAAACCTGGGCAGGCTCCTGTTACCTACCACTGCTTTGACAGACGGCTCGCACCTCCCTCCCCCCCCCCCGCCCCTTTCCGGGTTTAACTAGAAGCGGAGAGTGATTTATCTGTAGGGAGAAAGCCAGAATCCCTTCCCCTCCACTCGGATCCTTGCCCTTCAATGGTCAACAACTCCAGCATGGATTTTTTTCTGCTCGCTGTATGATCCTGGGGCGTGCACTATCATTTATTAAGAGCTGTAACAATTGCTCTTAGGAATTTTTTTTCCTAATAAATTAAAATTAAGTTTCACTTAAGTAGCTACATGCAGTGCCATGTAGCTATAATGCACTAACCAGGAAGGCTGTGCTCAAAAACTGGTACACAGTATCCCAGAAAAGCTTGAACCATACTTGAGATATTTATCCCAGTGTGCTGCTTTGATACTATTAGCATAGGACTCTTCCACCTCCAGCCTTTGATGGTTCACTAAATAAACTTCTAAAGACTAAGATTTGTAAAGGTATGTAGGTGTTTCTGTGCTCAGCATTGCAATGCGTAACTGATTTAGAAGTTTAAGACCCATTGATTGTTAATGCGATTTTGACTCCTAAATCAGGTTAGTTATTGCTATGCTGAGCATAGCAAAACTACATTATTTTAAAAATCTGAGTTGAAGGACCTGTCTATATGGGGAAGCTATTGCAAAATAAGGTAAGGTGTGAATTTAAAGTTCAATAGCTATTCCACACTAGCTCCTGGAGTGGATACTCTTATTCCGCACTAAGAGAGTGCTTTCATGCTGTTAATCCTGTGGGCTATTCCCCCGTGAAAACAAACCCTAATAAGGAGTTTTTCAACAGAAAATGAAGTTTCATCAAAAAATGAAGTGAAATTTCTTGATTCCCTCTAATTTATGGGGCATCAAGAATAATAGTTGCTAGAATCCTAAGCATCCTAGAATATTACTGTACTGCAGACATTGTTAGCAGATTTTGGGGGGGGAGGGAGATCAGAGAGAGGGGGCAATACACTAAATACATATTACTACACCTGTGCCCGTGATAGTCAAATCTATTTGTTTTTCCATAGTAACTCCCTATTTTGAGACATTTCTAATGAAAGATTTGTCACAGGCCAAAGTTCATGACAATTAGCAGCCTCACATTCTTGCTGACACTACCTTGTTGGTCAAAGAGCTCCTCACAACACTCCTGCAAGGCAGGGCAGTGCTGTTATCCCTGTTTTACAGATGGGGAACTGAGGCACTAGATGACTTGATCAAGGTAACATGGGAAATCTATGGCAGAGCAGGGAATTGTTCCCTAGTCTCAGAGTCCCAGGCTGGCATCTGAACTACCGGACAGTCTTTTCCTCTCATGGGTATTGATAAAGTCACCCTGTGTAATTCACTTGAGCTTGTTTGTAAATGGGTTTTGTTGCATAGTACATCAAACTGTATAAAAAGCCTTAAAATCAACAACCATGTTAGTTTACTTAGAAAAGTAGCAACTGTGTATTGTTTGGATAGAAAAAACTTAAAGGATAGTTAGGACATAGGGGATATTCTTTCACACTGGTCAGTCAGTTGTCAGTTCTTTAATTGTGTACCTGGTGCAAATGAGATTTGAAGAGCCCCAGGGCAACCAGGCATGGCAAGACCTATAAACTGAACTTTACACTGGCATAATAGGCTTTCAGAGGCTTCCCAGTATGGGTGAGAACATGCTAGATTTGCTGAAGCTGGAACACTAAAAATAGGAGTGTGACTGCAGTGGCACAGGCTAGCCCTGAGTACAACATTATCAGGGTTGGGTGGGATTGTACTCAGGCTGCTACTCACACTGCCATTTTAGAGCACCAGCTTGAGCAGAGCTAACACACATCACACATATGGGAAGAAACATACATATATATATATATATATACATGGAGATATACCTATCTCATAGAACTGGAAGGTCATCAAGTCCAGTGCCTTCACTAGCAGTGACCAAGTACTGATTTTGCCCCGATCCCTAAGTGGCCCCCGCAAGGGCTGAACTCACAACCCTGGATTTAGTAGGCCAATGCTCAAACCACTGAGCTATCCCTCCCCCTGTCACATGGGTATCATAATGTAATTTGGCACTCTCTTGATTGTGTGTTAAAGGGATGCAGACAGTTTAATCATCACTTCACACTTCTGATTCCATTTTCCCCTACAGGCTGCTTCTAAGATTAGTATCTAGACTGCATCTGCATTAGAAGTTTTTCCTTAAAATTTCCCACTATTGTTACCAGCAGCACAGTTGTCTTAACCTTTTTGTTGTCTACTCCTGACTAGAGCTGGCTTACGCAACAATGACTGCAACACTGGCAGCCTATTGCCACTAGTGCTCCCACTGTTGTTCCAATTATGGAGCTACACCTGTGGTAGTGCAATGGTGTAATATTGTAAGAAAATGTCTAGGGCAGATAAGACCAAAGATTAGAGTGGGGAAGTTTCTATACTTTGTACATTTGAGAGCATTTTGTGTATAATCATTTTGCTGTTTCCCCTTTTTGTGAGGATTTTTCACATAGCAACAGTGGAGAGACAAAATATTGTTTCAAAAAGGAAATGCAATTGTAACACCCCCCCGCCCCCCCCCCAAAAAAATTGGTTGCGGGACTAAAGGGCAGGTATAGTACCTGAAACTGCTTTTCTATTTTAAGCAGTCTAGATTTCAAGTTCATACTATCCCTTTAACATAACAGACTTCCAACATACTGTGCCAACAGTCCACGCAATAAGGGTCATATTACATATTGACACAATTCATCATAATGCTTCCCATAAACCATAATTTTATGCCCATATATTAAGGAAGATCAGAGTGCTATAGTACCAATAAGTCTATGGGGGAGAGGGTATAAATATACACACACAATTTCTGAGGAAGTCACCAACCCACTACAGCTTGGCTGAGGGAATTCTGAACAGCCCAGGCACAAGGCTTTCAAATATGCACCAACATGTACTAGGGCTGGGCATGTACTGATACCCCTCAGTCAATATTAAAGACAAGTTAATGTGCCATGGAGATTATATTGGGTCCTATTTGAGGTGATAATTGTAATTGCACTGGGATTGCAATACATATGTTAAATGAAAAATGTTTTGTCATTAAAAAGAAAATTAGAAAGTAAAGTTAACATTACTATTTCAACCAATACAAGCTAGGAAACAGATGAGAGACAGTCTATGACTCTAGATAGACCGTGTCAATATCTGTTCAGACATAAAGGTAAAAAAGATCCTGAACAAAAACAAGTGTGTTGTTTTTCTAAAAGAGCTGCTCTAGAAATTATTTTGGCCTGTGTTATACAGAAGGTCAGAGTAGGGATAGATCTACTTAAAACGCTGAAGCAGTGCAGCTGCACCAGTGTACCACTTCAGCGTAGACACTGCCTACACCAATAGGAAGGCTTCTCCTGTTGGTGTAGGAAGTCTACTTCCCGGAGAGGTGATAGCTAGGGAAACAGAAGAAATTCTTCCACCGACCTAGTGCTGGTCTATGCCTGGGGTTAGGTCGGCACAGTTACGTCTCTCAGGGTGTGGATTTTTCGTACCCAAGAGACATAGTTATCCTGAAGTAAATTCCTAGCATAGACCAGGGCTAGCTGATCACAGTGGTCCCATCTGGCCTTAAAATGAATGACTCTATAAACTTAGATACTATGATGTAGCAATTTCCTTGTTCTTGTCAATTTATAATTCCATGACATGCTATATATTACATGGATTAAGGATATAGGATCTCTCAGGCATGTTTAAAATGAGTCACTAATAGCTGCAACACTACCCAGCTGTGTTCAGTTTAGGGCCAAGTGATTCTGTTTGCACCCACTGAGAATTAATTGCCACAAGTTCCACAATTTATTTGTCTGATGTAATTAACATACCAATGACCTCAGCTCTAGTTGGGTAGCTTCATATTCGGATATCAGTGCCCTGTTATACTATTCAAATATGACAGACATTACACTAACAGCTTACACCTATTTCTTGGAGGAAATCTATTGCACAAAAAGATTCAGCTGTAAAATTTATCAAATTTATCAATTAAGATCTGTTAGTTTTAAATCAGGTTTATTCCCTTCACTTTCCATCAGATATAGGTAATCTTTCTACCATTGCAGAAATTCCAGATTTTGAGAGAGGGTATTTTACATGTCAAAGACTTTTTTCATTTGAACAGTCCCAGACAAGCTCTTGTTGATTTTCTCAGGGCGTCTTGCACCTTTTTTGGACCTTAAGGTGCCTTAACGTGCCTTGTGTGGTCACGGCTGTAAAAAAAAAAAAAAAAAAAAACCCACCTCAATGACGGGTGTAGCTCCGAGAGCTCCAATTTGCTGAGCTCAGGGGGTGTTTTTTTCACACCCCTGAGCAAGAAAGTTGCAGCACTGTTAATTGCCAGTGTAGACAAGCCCAAGATTTAGTTAGTCATCACAAACTAAAAGATCTCAAGTTGTTGGATCTAAAAGGTGGTAGTGGAAAAATCTAAAATCTATCAGTTCAGTGTATGGTAGCATGATTAATTACAAATCTGGGGGAATCAGGAGACTTGCATTCTATTCCCAGTTCTAATGAGTGACTTACATGTTCTTAGACAGGCTTCCTTGGACTTTTGCAAGAGATAAACAAGATTTGGGCTCATGATTAAAACCCACTTTGGGTCCCATCTACACTGCCAGACTAAACCATATCATGGACTATTGTGTTATAATCAGGTCCATTGGCATAACAGATTTTATGGAATAGAGAGTACCTTTCAGACTATTTTGCCTATGTAGACTTAGTCTAGACAAAAATAGTTTGTGGTCTGAAATATGCACACTTGTTGAGCAATGCACTCGTGTGCTAAAAACATTCTGAACTTTGTGACTGATCACAGATTTCTCTGAATTTGCTGTAGGCTGTTT